TCAAATGGTTGCATCAGAAGCTCATGTAAGGTATATTAAAAAATGCATCATGACAGATGGCTAACAGAAGACAATAAAATCTTAAATTGACTACAAGATTTTAGCATATGACATCATTATAAAAAATGTTTTAAAAATACTTTGAAGTATTTTTTTCTTCACATATCAGCAATAGAGTATGTCAAACTTTGATATCTTTTGGCCCATATCCACGCCAATCTGATTGTGTTTAGATTTTTACACCAACAAATTGTTAGTTTTTTAAGGATTATCTATCAAAAAATCGAAGCCCAATCAGCTTTACGTCATAGTTGTCTGATATTTTTTTAAATATAATAACTAATACACAAAAGATAACCACTGTTTTAAATCAGATAAAGGTAAACTGTCTTTAAGATGAATTTCTAGTGATACTTTCTATGATACTCCTAGCTGAATCATATTTTTACTTGGTAAAAAAAGATCCATAATATTTTTAATCTAGTAAATGCTTTTACAACAATGAATGGTGCATAAGGCTTCAGATTTGTGATAAAAACCAAATTGCTAACAACACATAAAAACAATTAAAATTTGAGAAAAAAATAATAATACACAATTAAGTTAAAAACACAACTAAGTAAAGTTTAAAAAATATAAGATAATGACATTGAAAAAAAACCTTTGACAAAGTAAAATGTCACATAAAAGTACTCAATTTATTATGGGTAGAAGAGATCATGAAAAAATGCTTAAGAATAATGATTATGATTGCAACTTAGGTAATTTAGAAATATACATCTTTATTTAACTTTTGTACTTTTTGCTGTTTTTACTTTTTATTTTTATTTTTCCTTGAACTTTATTTTAAATTAAAAGTTTAAAAAAACTAAATTTTACAATGGAAAATTGAAACGTTATAATCGCTGAAAATAATATTGCAACTTTGAAGTTTAACAACTTAGAATTAAGTAAAACTAGTCAAAAAAGTTATTTGGTTTATAAACTGTTACTATACAAAATTTTAAATGATCACCATTTTTATTTACAAAATGAGAGTATGTTAAAAATTGCAAAAATTATAACTTTTTAACAGATTGGTCAATCAAGCTGAAGTTTTAAGGGTTGTATTCTTTCAATCAGCGATGAAACTCATCTATTGAAAATTTTACAAGGTGCTAGCCAGCCTGATGGCATCCAGTTTAACGCAAAATTTCCAATTGGTTTAAAATTTCTTAAGCTTCTAAAGATCATTGTAAAAAAATAAAAATAATTTCTGTGTTGTATGCACAACACAGAAATAAATCACATTCATCAATTTTTTTAAAAGAAAAAAAATATTGTCATTAACAAGCAAGATCATTCATTCAAAAGTTAAAAAAAACATTATTTTTTAATTGGTCAGTTTTTTTTTATTTATTTTATTTTAATTTACCTCCTCAACGCCGAGAAGGCCACTACAGACGAGGAGGCTACTTATTTGTGGTTATAACCCTCTCTCAACGCTATAACTCCGAAACACGAACCTTGATAAACAAGGCCGCTGCGCGGAGAAACGAGTTGAGCGAGGTACTACAAGGGACGTGTTGGGGATCGAACTCGGAACCACTCGTTTATGAATTGAATCCAACCTGCTGGGCAACACTTACTTGGACTTCACTTGGATTGAACACTTCACTTGGAAAGTACATTTCACTTTTATCAGTTAAGCCATGCTTTGTGAATACATTGAAAGCAATAGCTGAATTATTCATAAGAAGTTAGAATAAAGATGAGCACGAAGTGTCCAAGCTTCAGAAAACAATAATCATTCAAATTTGTATTTCTATGTGATATATGTTCAAACATTTTGAGTGAAGTATTTTATCAAAATTTATTAAATTTGCCATCAAGGTTGTTACAAACAAAACATTTAGGTCTCATGAGTGTGATCGAAATATTGCAAACTGCGAGCAAACATTAAAAACAATTCAGAAACATGTATAATTGAGCAAAAGACGAAGTTACTCAAATGGCGGCCAAATGGGGTATTATTCCAAAATTTTCTTGGAATAGACAAAAAGTAGTTAAAAAACATTTTGATGAACTATTAAGGGATCATCGTTTTGGCAATGAAGGTCGCATCTTTTGCATCAGTGTATTTAGAAAAGTTTTTGATGTAGTTATAAGCCAAATATAGAAAAGATTTACAATTTTAGAAATACTCTAATTTATTTATTTGATTTCAGTTGTGCAACAGTTTTTTCAATAAATATATTTAGATAAAAAACTTTTTCTCTTAGTGGTTAGGGCCAAAACATTATTTTGCGGGGTAAGCTAAATATTAAAGTTCTGCCATTGCCTATATTCCTAATATCATGAAAACATTGTATAAAATTTTTTCCTGGTTAACACCCTGATTTAGGACACATAACAAAGGTAAATTTAAAAAGAATATATATATATATATATATATATATATATATATATATATATATATATATATATATATATATATATATATATATATATATATATATATATATATATATATATATATATATATATATATATATATATGTAGAAGAATACATATTTATATATTATTATTTACAGAAGCAAATATGAAAAAAAAAAAAAATAAATAAAAAGCAACTCTACTTGTATCTGTTTTGATATACCAAAATCAGCAAGCTTACAATTCCCATATAAATCTAACAATATATTGGCACCTACAATAACAAAGGAGAATTTTTAAAAAAAATAACAAAGGAGAATTTATTTATTCCACTAAATTATTATAATAATTTATAATTGTACAAAAAAATACAGTACAGACAAACTTAGATTTGTTTTGGAAAAGTTCGCATTAATCTGTTTATATCTGTAAAAATCTGTTTATAATTTATTTCACAATAGTTTTAAAGTTTAACTTTAATTTATTTTCAGACATCTCTACTATTATAAAAATTCAAACCTTGTTTTACTTTCTATTAAACTTGTTCTACTGTTGATTTATTAACTGCTGTATCAAGTTCAACCATTGATAAAATGGAAGCAATGTAACAAGATATGGTCTTGACATAATTAAGATATTTTAATAAAGTTTTTATGTTTGTGTTGCATGTTTCCTCTGTAAGCTCTCTTTATATGATACAACAGAGAATGTTATTTTATTACAGCAGAAAATTATTGAAATTTGTTTTCTAATTGCATTATTATAGTCATTTTTGATGAAGAAAAATGGTATTCTCAGTAACCTGGTAACCAGGTACTTTATTTATACTCCTGACTTTAAAGTGACTCTACTTGCTGATGATACAACTATATACTCCAGTCTCAAAAAAAAGTCATCTTTTTGATTGCTTAGAACAAGTAGTCAATTTTGAATGCGATCACTCCTCTGTGATTGTTAAAATTCTTAAGTCACTGCTGGCTTGGGCTGGCAGTGACTTAAGAACTTGCATAATGCTAACATTAAAATATTTTTTGATAGTCTATCAAACTTCTTTAACAACCACATTGTAACGCAGTGGAGTGCCCTTCCTGACAAAGTTACATATGTCAGTTCTGTTAACTGTTTTAGGATTTCCCTTAACAGTCATATTCACTACAGCACATTATCTACTGTGTTACTTTCGCCACCCCCTACCCCACAGTAGTTAAATGAGTTTTTCAATTGAACATGTTTCGTTTTCAGTGGGAGCCAATTTATCTATTAATTTGATATAGTAGTTTAATAATAATTTGTCATTGTTTTCACTGTATTAACATAGTAGTTTTAATAAAAATAACTTATTATATATATAAAAAAAAAAAATTTAATTGATATATATTATAATACTCTGTGAGTATTACTCAGTCTATTTCAAGCATTGCATAAAAATATAACAAAAAAAATATATATATATATACTAATAAAAATTTGTTTAAATTTAAAAACAGTGAAACATCTGTTAACAAATGTTTTTCAAAATTCTAAACAGTAAAACAGCTGTAAAAAAAAAAAAAAATTTCAGAAACTCTTGAACAAAAAAAAAAGAAAGATTTTTATTTAAAAAGTACTGCAAACCGATGCAAACCAATAACAAAAATTCTCTTAAATTTATTAAAGAAACAATATTTATTAACGTAAAAAAATACATCTACTGCAAAAGTAGATACAAGATAACAAAATAGTGTCTGTTATAAAGACTTTCTAAATATCTCCCAAAAAACCCCAACAGTGTTTTTCAACAACCAAAAATTTGATTTTACATTGTTTATCTTGACTTAGTTATCCAACATTTTTTTTTTTAACAAAATAATTGTTATTTTGGTTATACTAGAACAAAGGTTTTCTTCTTTAAAACAATGAAAATAACTAGTTTTTGTGCAATAAAATGATAAAATGATTAGACAATAATGAATATATATATATGAATATATATATATATATATATATATATATATATATATATATATATATATATATATATATACATATATATATATATATATATATATATATATACATATACATATACATATATATATATATATATATATATATATATATATATATATATATATATATATATTATATATATATATATATATATATATATATATATATATATATATATATATATATATATATATATATATATATATATATATATATATATATATATATATATATATATATATATATATATATATATATATATTACCGTGACAGTAAAGGTGGTGGCTTACTTATATTGGTGCACAATGACATTCATTAAGTCCAAATTCGTCCGGAAATTCCCAACGATCTTCAAAACACGGAATTTATCTGTGTCGACGTAAGTGCTGTGAACTATCTAGTATTCACAATTTCTATAAAGCTGACTATATTTCGATTAATAACAACTTACTTAATGTAAACTGGTATATGTTGGCCAAACAAAACCCAGATGTTGAATCATTCTGGCAAGCTATTTGTAAAGTCCTGAGTGAATCTATTGCTTCTCACGTTCCTTCATTATGCAATAAAAAAAAGCTCGTTCAACGCTTTGCTATTCGTAAATTAGCGTCCAAAAAACGTACTTTGTACAGACTTTATAAAAAAACTCATAACTTTTCTGTTCTTATCAACTACAAGAATTGTTCACGTTTATACGATGCTGAAATCACAAAAAACTGTACTGCTCGAGAAAAATACAAAGTAGACAACTCCAATTTAACCCAATTTTATTCTTATGTCGATTCAAAATTTAACATTTTAAATTCTGTTGCGCCACTTGTAAGACCCGACGGTTCCCTTTGTACTGATGACTGTGAAAAATCGAGCCGTCTAAACAATTTTTTTGCTTCAGTGTTTGTCTCTGACAACGGTACTAAACCTGTGCTAGACCTACCATCCCACGATAATTCTTTGAATAATGTCCTATTTTCTTATGATTCTGTTCTATTAGCCCTTCAAAAACTTCCACCAAAGTCATCAAAATCACCAGATGGGTATCCTGCCTTATTCCTGAAATCGATTGCCACCCTGTTATATTATTATTATATTATAATATTATTGCCACCCCGTTCTGCCTCTTTTTCGAGTTCTCAATGTTAACCGGCGTAATTCCAAATATTTGGAAAACCGCATATGTATGTCCGATTTTCAAGAAAGGTAACCCCTACTTATCTACAAACTACAGACCTATTTCAATGACTTGTATTAGTTGCAAAGTTATAGAGTCAATTATTGATAATAGTTTAAAAAGGTACCTTCAACTTGATAACTTTATCTCTATTCACCAAATTGGGTTCTTAAAGCGTAGATCTACATGTACACAGATGTTAGCTTCTCTTAATGAATGGACCTCAGCTGTTAACAAGAAAAAGGAAGTTGATATTATCTATATTGACTACAAAAAGGCATTCGACTTTGTATCGCATTCTAAGTTAGTGCACAAACTGAATTGATACGGCATTAAGTACGAACTTCTAAATTGGATTACCAACTTTTTAACTGACCGATCCCAATGTGTTTGCATTGGTAACTCTTACTCAAACTACGTACCTGTAAAGATTGGAATACCCCAAGGAACTGTGTTGGCTCCAACTTTATTCTTATTATTTATTAATGATGTAGCTTCTTGTATTGAAGGTGATTGTCGAATAAAGCTGTTTGCTGATGATAGCAAACTGTACTAAACAAGAGACAAAAATAACAATGCTGACCTTAAAATATCATTAAAAAAGTTCTCTGATTGGACAGCTTACTGGCAACAAAAAAAAGCATTCAAAAAATGTTTCCACTTATGTTTTGGAAGTAAGTCTTTGACTGTTCATTTGTATTCGTTTTGCCTGGACACCCTGATAATGAGTGTTAACTGTATTGAAGATATTGGTATTACGGTATCTTCTGACACCAAATTTTCCAAACACTGTTCTCGTATTGCCAAAAAAGCTTACGCCCATCTATATTTACTTTTCAAAACCTTTATCAGTAATGATTCAAATCTCCTCTTAAAAGCCTACAAGGTATATGTGCGTCCAATCTTAGAATCTTGCACCCCAGTGTGGAGTCCTTACCTTCTTAAAGATATACGTTGCATCGAAAACGTCTAAAGACACTTTAGCAGAATTACCTGTAAGATGCCATATTTCTTACACTGATTACACATTGAGACTATCTGTTTTAAAACTCGATTCTCTTGAACACCACAGAGTCAAATCCAATCTTTTTATGACCTACAAAATTATAAACAATCTTGTCGACCTTCCTTTTTCCAATTTCTTTACATTTTCCAATTCTCATTACCCCACTAGAAGTCATGCGAAAAAAATAGTTTTACTCAATAAATGTACTAATGATACACGTAGATTTTTTTTTTAGTGAAAGAATTGTAAAAATATCGAATTCATTGCCTGCTCACATTGTCGATTCATCTTCATTATTCATATTCAAAAAACTACAAACCCACGACTTACAACAAAATTGCATATTGTATTAAATTGCCTTCAGGTGTTGCATAAGTGTTCAGGTGTTACATAAGATTAATCACAAGATTAACATAATTCTTGAATGCATCAATATATATATATATATATATATATATATATATATATATATATATATATATATATATATATATATATATATATATATATATATATATATATATATATATATATATATATATATATATAGATATATATATATATATATATAGATATATATATATATATATAGATATATATATATATATATATATATATATAGTTTGATGAAGTGTTGTATTGAAATAATACGAAACTCTTGTTTGTTGAAAAGTGCTCAATATTTAGGAAATTTATTTAAATTACATATAAATTTCAAAATAGAGTGGTGTAAAATTAAAAAAACAAAAAGAAAAAACTTTTATTATGGAACTTTAAGTTTCATGCCTAATGTCAATTATCAGCCATATATTACAAAATTAAAATGTTAAAATTACAATTAGAATTACTGTGGCGTGAATTCAAATAAAAGTATAACGTCACGTAAACATGACACAAACCAACCAGGATCAATCTTGGATATCAAATGAGGAAGTAAGGAACTTATTTTTGTGCCTACACTTTGAGATTATTTCACTCCTTGTATTAAGTAGGTTGTCTCCTTTATACATCAAAATTTGAAACTTCTCGTTTAAACATAGGTTGCAGACTCTTGATGCTGGATTGTACATCAAAATCTTAACATCTTCACTTCCAATGGTGGAAGTTACTG